TGTGTTGTGTATATATTTTGATTTTGGATTGTGAACTTAAAGTTCTGTGGGGCTTTATCTGTGAGAAAACTGAACGGTTTGATTTGAGGATGTTTTGTATTAGCTTCTGTTTGGCATCCTGTAGGTGTTACTAGCCTGAAAGTGTTACTGTAAGGTATTTTACTTTATCGGCGATTCTCAGACCGTACAATTAATGTAGACTGAAACGTGAACTCTACTGGTGGAAAAGCAGTAAATGACACTGTCAGGAGAAGCGTCCCGCACATATGCACAACCCCCACCCGTCCCCAGGAACCCAAGCCAAAAAATACAAGCTTCTTATTCCCTCCCTGTGTCAGTGGAGATGTTTTATTTTTCAGTCTGTGCTTTCACTGAGGTTAAGATCCTTTGAGGATCCTGGCTTCATATAGGAGGCTAAGAAACCCTAAGGTGCACGGATCAAAGAACTCGGCTCTCTCTGTAAGGTCATGTAAAACAAAAGCCCTCTGGTCACCAAGGTATGAAAATTTCCTCAGGATAGTCAAAGTATGCTCCCCCTTAGAGCTCTGGCTGCCCTTTACCACTTCACTTTTTATACACTGGGGTTTCTATTACATTCTTGTAAGTTCAGGCATTTACTTGAAGGGATGCTCGTTACGTTTTACTCAGGATTTCTAACTGCTGTTGTATCTTCTTTAACTTTTGGTATAAAAGGATTTTCAAATTATCTAGTCTCCCATTTTAGGATTTTTTCCCTTTATAAGACAAACCTTGTGTTAAACTGTAAGATGCAAAGAGACCTGGATGTTTATGAAATTCATTTTTTATCCTCATAATCCAAAACTTACATCAGGATGCATTTAGGTGCTGGTGCTCTGTTATCTTTGCCAAAACACAATGAGCTCTTCCAATGTATACATGTAGGTTTTTCTTCAGCTAAGTTTTCCTCAATGTTCTATTATCTGTTCTAAGAGAAAGTCATTCATTCAGTATGTAGTTCCCTAGTGCTATCTAACATAATTTTTACCTCATAATTTTCATCCTGTCCATTTCCCTTACAACCTGGTAGTTTTCTCAAGTTAGTTCTTTACGTCATTAATTTACCATTTAAGTTACCAATGACTATTTCGCTCTTCACTGCTTCTAATGCAGCTTTATGTTTTGCAAATGCCAGGGTCATTTTCATAGAAACTTCTCTTATCATATCATTATTGTTTCTTTTTTACTCCTGCCTCTCACCCAGCTCTCTTCATCCTAGTTTCTTGTTTTGTCTTATTTTATAGATTCCATGCTCACTTGAAATTTTTAAGGATTCTACATAGATGCTATCTGTAAGTTCTTATTTTTAAACCCTCCTCCCACAGAAATTTTCTATACATAAGTTCATTCTCTTCTCCTTGAAGGCTGTGAACTTATCCCTGCGCATAATCTCTTTCATAGGCTCACATTATTGCTTTTCTTATTTATTCATTTGTGAACAATGAGAAGCCTTTCAAAACTTTACACATGCTCCCCCCAGATAAGTGGATCTTCCCATCTCCTTCTTGGCTGTGTTAGAAACAACTTCTCAGACCTTTTAGTTAACACATATTTACATTATCATTCAAGTAATCCAGTGACTCTAAGAAATGGGAACAGAGCCAGGACTTAGGGCTCCTTACTGGTAGTGATGCCCACCACATCAGGGAAGAGCCCTGTTATACCTGGAAAAAGAAAAACAACTTTCTTAACTTGGTTAGAATAGCAAATTCCTGACTGTCTCACTATTAATTATTTTAGAATAAAAATAATCAGCAGCGTTGGATCTTCTACTCATCTGTCCCACAGTCTTTCTTAAAAGCCTTACCCACCCAAGTTAGGGAGGGGGAAACTATTTTTATTTCATGAAGGAAGCTACTCAATATAAAACTTAAACTTTGATGTTTGACCTTCAATCTGATACTGTACTTTTTCTAGGCAAGTACCCTTCCTTAATTCCAGGACTGATATTTTCCCGGTTTTGTGTTCTTAAATTTACAATCTAGAAAACAGATCTAGAAAGAGGAATTAATTAAATGCATTTGCTCAAGTCTGTAACTTTCCTGTAATTCAAAGCATAGCAAATCTTTTTCAGAGATTTGCCTTCAACTACAGCTAGGCCAATCAGCTTTTATCTGAGATTTTGAAATAATGATGCTAATTATGTTCCAATAAGCACATGAACCCCAAAATATCAAAACACACGACTGATATTTTTCATTGGTAACATAAGAAAAGTGTTCAAATATGTAAAAAATGGATAAGTTTTAATTATTCATTTATTTCACAACAATTTATGAGTTTACTACTATGTTTGGGGCACTAGGGTAACCACCAGAAACACACAGATGAACGCGGCACTATCCTCGACTTAAAGAATTCAGAGGCTGGAGACTGGAAACTGACATGCAAATATATAATTTCAATAGAACACAAGTAACTGTTATAGTCTGTAAGTTTGCTTTGGGAGTACAGAGGAATCACCTAACACTATGGAGTCAATGATGGAGGCACTGAAAAGCATAGCTGATTTTCAGAACTTTTATGATAAAAGATATAAATATGGAAAGGCAGCAAGAAATAGTATGCTGTATAATACGGCCAGATCAGAATTTCATGAGTGATGCAAAAAAAAAAATTAAAAAATAAAATAAAAAAGCCAGAAAGGCAGATCATTGATCTTGTATGCCACTAAGGAGTTTAACCTCTAATCTTACAGACAATAAGGAGTAACTGAAAGTTTTCATGTTGGGTTAATAAATGGGCATATTTGTATTTTTAAAATGGTAGCATAGGAAACGGTCTGGAAGGATAGAAAACTGGAAGTTGAGACTAGTGAAGCTGCTACATTGCAGTAGAATGCCAGATCTAAAAGCATTCTCAGTGTCAGTGAGACTGGAAAAGAACTGAGTGATTTTTGAGATATTTCTAATGTAGAGTCAATAGAAATTAATGGCTGAGTGCATGTCTGGGGAGTGAGAAACAAGTCAGGAATGACTACAAGGTTTCTGTTTTAAGTTACTGCCTGGAGAGTGGGATCATTAACAAAAATCAAAATGAATGAAAAAGGAGCAGATTTGGAATGGAAAGAGAAAATTCACTTTTGCACTGAACATTCAGGTAACAACTAAAGATGTGGGCATGGATGAGATCATTTAGATAAATTATAGCATTAAAAGAAGGCCAAAGATAGATTCCCAGAGAAAACTATTCCCAGGAAAGCCTAACATTTAATAGGCAAGGAAGGAGAAAATAAATAGCTTTTTAACTAGAAAAGTACCACATACACATAAATATTACAAATATAGCTATAGGCCTGGATAAAAAGGTCTAGCATTTGCTTATTTTCAAAAATAAAACCACACTTCATTTGAAATTTTCCACCTCTTGAAATGGCTAAGGCATTTAACCACTTATGATATGAATAAAATTAGTTGAACTTGGACAATCCTGAAAAAGTCAGAATGTTTAGTTATGACTACTGTAATTCCTGTGGTAGAAGAGGTTATAAGGGCAGGCCAGTCTGATCAAGTATATAAAATACTATCTGAATAATCCACAGCTTTCTTGAAAGAAAAATAAAGCAATAGAGAAACAGTAACAATTGTCTTCGGCTAAGGCCAACACCCCTAATTGTAAAACCTCTAGGACAGTTTCAAAGAAAAAAAACATACTGTCTAGATTCAAGGAAGTTCAACCCTGTAAGTATGATAACCAGGTATACTCAGTTTTGACATCCAAGAAATCCTAAGAAACGTTAACATGTTGATTTTATAATCTTAGCCCAAATTTAAAACACTAGACCAGAAAAAGCTATCTAACAGCAAAATAACAGGATAATAACAATAACAATTAATCCTTAATATATTGCATGTAAAATGTTCTGTTAATGTCTAATACCATCCTATAAACAAATATCTAACAGGGTTGAAGAAGGTTATGTGATATGGCAGCAGGATAAAAAATATTTAGTGGCAATAATGAGATGATCCCCAATTATGGAAGAAAAGGTTAATCTACTTTGAATTCTACCACTATAGAGCAAAAAGCCAACCCTCTTAGGTTCTGAATTCCAATTCCAAATCCTTTTAGAATAAATTATAGACTGTTACAAGCGAAAAACCATATAACACTTCTCCTAAACATGCACCCGATTCAAAGATTAACTTACAAACATCCTCCTTTTTAGTTAAACAAAAAGATGCTAATGAATTATGCTCTAAGCAAATATTTCTTCCTCTAACAACAGGATATCTATTTTTAGCTGCAGGTTTGGCTTAAAGTGAACAGCTTTTACCCTATGATAAACTGCAGTATATACTACAGTATATTTTCTCAAAAACCATTTTTAGAAATGTTTAGAAAAATAAATCCGTATTACCAAAACGAAAAGAAACGAATCATCACAAATTACTCATCTTAACAAATTATTTCCCCAAAAATAATTCCTGAAAAATTTTAACAAAGCCTCTGAAACCAAAATGGGTATATTTATTTCATCATGAAATCCATATTTCTCAATGAATTATAGTTCAAAGCAACCAATAAATCAACAAAATTTTGACATCTTATTCAAGATTGAGTATTTTTTTATATAACCAAAATGGAGCTAACAAAAATTAATATTAGAATGACAAAGCCAATAAAAGGAAAGTTTAATTATCCTCAGAATCAGATATTAAAAAAAAAATCCTCCTTTACCATAGTGGGTCTTTTACTCACTAATTTATAACACAATTAATAACAGTGAATACAATAAATCAAACCATAAAATAGATTAGAAACTGATTACTGCTATTAACTATTAATAGTGGTATTAACTGTTCACAGTTCTTAATGGATTTAAAAGCGTATTACTATAATGCCTAAATGTAAAAGCATCAACAGGAAATGTAATTCACAGTAGCTCTGGCTTTACAACAGCCCCTTAAAAAATATTTTTTCCTCTTACAGTTATATATTTTTCAAAAATACAAAGCTGCAGTCTCAGAGAGCATACTTACCACTCATGATGAAAATCAGCCTTTCCAAAACATATTGTTCAAAACAACAACCCAACAGCAAAGGGAGTTATGCTAATCTCTAGAGGTAGAAGAACCGATGGTGTAAACACATACACTAGAGCATGCAGCATACAGAAAATGAAAAGAGCTTTCTTTTGTTTTAAAAAGAAAAGCCCCTAGAAGCAGAGCATAACTGCTCAGTGTGAGATATCACTAGTAAACATCAGATTAATGCCAAAGATGTGTATAACTAGATTTAATTCCTTTCAAGCTAGTTATCCTAGCTTCCTTTATATACCAGAACAACTCAAAATGGCAGGGAGAAAATGTTCGAACCAGGATGTATAAGATGTTCTCAATTATATCAGCATGAGTTGTTACCACGGCAACATTAGACCAGAATTATCGGTTCACTTGTAACCAAGCTGTAGCTTTTCTAAAGCTTTAATCAACCAAGACAAATAAAATGCCTTTTTATTCTAGAGCCACATGATTTTAAAATTACCACGTTTCTTAAATTTAAGCATTTATCTACCCGTTTTACATCTTTCAAAGATATTTTAAAAATTGCTGTTTTCTTCAAATACTCACACAATCCCATGTTGAACCTGGCAAGGAACACACAGCAGAATGATTGCACCTAAACGTCTTTCAATTACACCAGCTCTTACTGCTAGCTGTGGACCTCACTGATATTAAAATGCTGTGTGCTGTTGCTAGTGACTATTGGCGATGAATCTTATTGCCCAGATCGCTGATAGCTTTCATTTTTCATGAGCCAGAAAGCTATACTGCAGCACAAATGTTAACCATTTAAACATTCTGTACTATGGGAGAGACAAAACATAATACTATATATATCTCTTCATTTATAAAGGAGAATTGTAAAACAACTTATTTATAAACTTCCATTACATTCGGCATTACAAACAGTGTCCAATTTCATTTAAATGTGGTTTTCAAGATGGGAGTACACAAAAAATTACTGACAATTATTGTTGAAGTGTAAAATACCCTACGTTAAACAGGATTAAGATGATAGATTGTTTAGAAAGGTGGGCAGACTAGACGGTATGCTGAACAACCGTTCTGATTCCCAGAGACCCAAAATTTGTACCAAAATGGTACAGAGAATCTATAGAATGGTTCCTTGTTAAGTGGAACTTCAGCAAGTGAACATGCCATTTTAAAAGTTGACAGATGAGACAGGACTTCCGGTGATGGGAGAATGAGTAAGTCAGTAAATCTCTCTAAGAAACAACTATGAAGCTGGACAAAATTATGAAAAATAATGACCTCATGGTTTTGGAAATCTGGTGATCACAAACGACAAACTGAGAAGTATTTATTCACGAAAAACTGCTGCACTCTGCACACAAACGGTGGGAGTCTGCGGTGTTCTTGTCTGGTGCTGCCACTGTTCCCCACCGGCTCAGTTAGTGCAGCACTTCTGTCAGGGCGGGGCTGGCCATGACAACCAGCAGCTTTGCTGCCAGAGAGGGCTGACATGATTTGGAGAGGAAGCCAAGAAACTCTACAAGAGTGATGTTTTCTATAAAAAAAAAAACCAAACTGTAGGAAATGAACAGGGAAAGGATTCAGCTTTGCTAGTCTGAAGTGGTGGCCTTAGTAGGGGTGAGAAGTAGATTGATGGTCTAGCAAAAAATTTAATACAGAAAATGGAAATGAGAGAGGAAAAAGAGGGCCTAGAGAAGCTCTCCACATACCCAAGGTTGACAAGGAAGCTGTTCCCCTAGGGGAGACCCAAGAGGTCCCAAAGGAAAGCTAAAGCCGGTACAGCCTTGAAAACTGCCTGATGGTTGACTGTACTCCCCAACCCATAAACAGCTCCATCAGCACAGACTGGCTCAAAGTGTTTGAGTACAACCTCTGATTAATTACTGAATAACAACTAAGCGATGCAGACACAGGGTGCTCCCTAGCAAAGAAATCAGTGGCCAGACAACAGGGAGATATAGCATAGATTAAAGCCAAGGAAGTTATGAAAAGAAAACAAAATGTAGATAAAAACAATCTTCAGGGAAGAAAGAATAATCAAAATGCAGAGCTAGAAAATATTATTTTTAAAAGTCAAATTTTTGACAGAAGCATTATATAATCCATAATGAGGAAAAAAGATACAAAATGCCTCTGAATGGGCCCATATATAGGATTTAGCAGACAAAAGACTTCAAAGCAGCTATTATAAATATATCAAAAGAATTTTTTTAAATTGTACTTAAAAATTAAAGGAAAATATGATAGCAATGATACAACAAAGAATTTCAATATCGAAAAATAAACTATTTAAAATATAAAAATTACAGACTTTGAAAGTACAATAACCCAAATTTAAAAACTCACTACATAGACCCAACAGATCTGAGGAGGGCAAAACGTTCAATCAGTAAGCCTGAAGATGGACCAGAGGAAGTCATCCAGTCTGAAGACAAACAACAGGAGAAAAATGAACAGAGCCTTAGAAACCTGTAGGATATCAAAGGTATCAATATATAGGTAATGCAGCTCCCAGAATGAGAAGAGAGAGACGGGGCAAAGAAACAATATTTGAAGATATAATGGTTGAAAATGTCCCAACTTGATGGAAAGCATTAACCTGCGATCCAAGTTCAGCCAATGCCAAACATGTTAAGCACAAAGAGATTCATACCTAGACACCTCATATTCAAGTTATTAAAACACAAAGACAAAGAAAAATCTTGAAAGCAGCAAGAGAAAATGACTAATCACATACAGTGGAAGAGCAATATGATTAATGATGACTTCTTAACAAAAATAAGAGAGGTCAGAAGGCAGTGGAATAATATATTCACAGTGCTAAAAGGAAAAAGAAAAAAAGCTTTTTACAAATCTCTGCCTGGGAACACTATCCTCCAAACACAAAGGTGAAATAAAGACATTCCCAGATAAACAACAACTGAGGATATTTGCTGCAAGCAGAAATACTTAAGGAAGTCTTCCCAGAGGAGAGGAAATGACACTGGACAATACTCAAACTGACAGGAAGAAAAAAAGAATACTAGAAATGGTAAATATATAAGTAAAAGGCTATATAAGCACATATTTATGCTTTCTTTTCTTAATTTCTTTAGAGAAATTAAAACTGTATGAAGCAATCATTGTAGCACTGCAATTCTGGGTTAATAAAAATACAAATGTAACATGAAAATAATAACACAAAATTTGAGAAGAAATTGAGCTGTATTGGATCAAAGTTGCTATATTTTACTAGAATTAAGTCAATGCTGTCCTAATGTAGACTGTGATAAGATAAACTGCATATTTTAACCCCTAGATCAACCATTAAGAAAATGTCTTTTTAGAAGGTAGTTTAAAAATCAAAGAGGAATTAAAATGGCATCCTACAAATATCTGTTTAACATAAAAAAGAGAGAAACTGATACAAAAAGTCTAAGACATACAGAAAACAAACAGCACAATGAAAGACATAAATCCAGCCATATCAATAAATCCAGCCATATCAATAATTACACTAAATGTGAGTGGAATAAACAGATCAAAAGGCGGAATTTATCAGACTGGATAAAAAAGCAAGGTCCAACTATATTCTGTCTACAAGAGCCACACTTTAGATTTCAAGATAAAAATAGGTTGGAGATAAAAGGAGAGAAAAAGATACACCATATGAACAGTTAACCATAAAACAGCTAGAGTACCTATAGCAATATCAGACAGAATAGACTCTAAGACAAGAAAGATTGCTAAAGTCAAAACAAGGAAATTTTATGATGATAAAAGGGACAATTCACCTGGGAGATTTAACAATCAGAAATGTATATGTACTGAACAAAAGAGTCTCCACAATGCTAAAACAATAATGACAGAATTGAAAGGAGAACTAAATAATTCAACAATTATAGTTGAAAATTTCAATATTCCTCTCTCAATAACTCATAGAAAAACCAGACAGAAAAATCAGTTGGATATAGAAGACTTGAATAAACCAATAAAATGATATTTATAAAATACAGCGTATAAATAACATTAGCAGAACACACATTCTTTTCAAGCATACATAGAAATTCTCTATATTAACCATATGCTAAGCAGTAAAACACATCTCAAATTAATTTGAAAGGATTAAAAAGTCATTCAAAATATCATCTCTGATCATAGCACAATCAAATTAGGAATCAACAGAGAGAAATTTTGGAAGTCCCAATATTTGGATTTAGGTCACAAAGAAATCCCAAGGGAAATTAGAAAATATTTTGGTGGGGAGGTATAGCTTAAGTGGTAGAGGACACGCTTAGTATGCATGAGGTCCCGGGTTCAATTCCCAGTACCTCCTCTAAAAAATAATAAATAAACAAACAAACAAACAAACAAACTTAACTATCTACCCCAACCAAAAAAAATATTTTGAACTGAATGGAAAAAAGCCTACGAGAAACCAACATTTATGGGATACAGATAAGGCATAACTTACAGGGAAAGTCATCACTTTAAACACTGTATTAAAAAAAAAAAGGTCTCAAATTAATAATTTAAGCTTTCACCTTAAGAAACTCAGAAAGAGGAGCAAATTAAACCAAAAACCAAAAAGATCACAGCAGAATTCAATGAAATGGAAAATAAAAACAGAGAAAATGAATGCAACCATTAGTCTTACTAATAAAACTTTAGCTAGACTGACAAAAATTAAGACAATACAAAACAAAATAGAAAGAAACTAAATACCAAAATCAGGAATGAAAAGATGATAACACCCCTAAAGAATGCTAAAGATGCTAAAGAAATCTGAAGAATTATGAGAGAATGCTATAAACAACTTTATGCAAACTACGTAAGATAACTGAGATGACATGGACAAATTCATAGAAAGATATAAATTACCAAAACTAACTCAAGAAAAAACAGAAAATCTGAAAAGATCCATAAACAAATAAAAATATTAATTTATTAATTTAAATTCTTCCCACAAAGAAAAAAGGGTCAGATGGCTTCACTGGGGAATTCTTTGAAACATTCAAAGATATAATACCAACCCTACACAAACTTCTTCAGAATACAGAGGAGGATGTAATACTTCCCAACTTATTCCATAAGGCTTGATGCCAAACTAGTCAAAGACCAAAATAAAATCACAGATCAGTATTCAATACAATGCAAACATCTTTACCAAAATACTAACAAACCTAATCTAGAAGTATATAAAAAGGATTATACACCAGGGCCATGCAGGATTTATCCTAGGAAGGAAAGGTTGGTTCAACATTGAAAATCAATTAATGAAATACACCACATTAATAGAATAAAAAACTACATAAACATCTCAATATATGGAGCAGAAGCATTCAACAGAATCCAATACCTGTGATAAAAACCTCTCCACAAACTAG